GGGGGGGGGGAGGTCCAAATTTCTACCCCTAAACACTTCCACACTCCTTTCAGATCCTGTTTCACAAAACTCAACCTAATCGAAATATAAATTTGATATTCGTAATCGGTAGGTAAAACTGCATATAAATGATGTGCTGCTGAAGCTATTTGAGAAAGAATTGTTTTTCGAATCCTGAGGAGACCCCAGAGGGAAAGTCTCGCTTGGAAATATTCCAAAACTCGGCCGTAGGAAACACTTCTAGTGGCTCCTTGATACTTCTTAGATAGATAAAAGCGAAAACAATCGTGGACAAAAAAAGATGGCCTTATTGCAACATGTCCTTTTCACATTTAATTGTAATATGCTCGCTTATGTAAATATTAGTGCATATTTTTTCATCGTAACGACAGCACGTGTAGAGAAAAGTAAAAAAAAAAGAGAATATTGAAAGAAGGAAATAGATGCGACGATAAGCACACTGATGAAAAAAGCTACCTATCTGATGAAAATGTCATGCTTCGCTAATTCACGTAAACATGTTTAAGTGGGAAAAAACCAAGTAATTAAAATGTCATGCTTCGCTGATTCACGTAAACATGCTTAAGTAGGAAAAAACCAAGTAATTTTGTCAACGATAAATACGACGCCAAATTGATTACAAACACACATAACAAACTCGCACTATCCAGTATTACTCAATACGTAAGTACGTTTAATTTCCAACATGATTAGACTAGTGATCGAATTCAAGCTGAAAGTTCAGAGTAACTACTAACGGAGAAACATGACGGGATATAGGAATGGGACATTTCAGTTACCAGAAATTGATTTCGAGAAAGTTCGACTAAAGATACTGAGCATATGCGATTGATAATTTTGATTGCCACAGCTTTACCACGTAAAACAGTCCAATCACAAGTCATGCCAAACTGAATGTTTTTTGAAATACCTAGACTTTACTGAGAATTATAGTAGTTCACAACACGAATCTCATTTTTAAGGGGCTAACATAGCAAGGGTGTGAATGTGGGGGGTAGAGTGAGGGTGTTGCTGTTGGTGTGGGGTGAGGGTGTTGATGTGGATATTTTTATGTTCCTCATAGCCATCTTCACGCCAACCACACACCCACACCCACATTCACGCACACGCACACCCCACCCCGCTCCACCCCACCCCACACCCACACCCACCAGAGACCGGCGGGACACGGGACCACTCCTGTCCCATCTCATCCCGTCTCGGGACAGGACGGGACGGGACGGGACAAGAAAAATAGAAGTAGGGCATATAATAAGGAATTAGATTAAGGAATAGAGTAAAGGATAGAATTAGTGATTAGATTAAGGGGTTAGAATAAGGAATATAATAAGGGGATAGAGTAAAGGATCAGGTTAATGGATTAGAATAAGGAATTGAATAAGGGGTTAGAATAAGGGATAGCATAAGGAATTAGATTAAGGGATTAGATTAAGGGGTTAGATTACGGGATAGAATAAGGGATAGAATAAGGAATAGAATAAGGGATAGAATAAGGAATTAGATTAAGGGATAGAGTAAGGGATAGAATACGTAATTAGATTAAGGGGTTAGAGTAAGGAATAGAATAAGGGGATAGAATAAAGGATCAGGTTAATGGATTAGAATAAAGGATCAGGTTAATGGATTAGAATAGGGGGTTCGAATAACGTATAGAATAAGGAATTAGATTAAGGGATTAGAATAAGGGATAGAGTAAGGGATAGAATAAGGGACAGAATAGGGGACAAAATAAGGGATAGAATAAGGGATTAGATTAGAGGGTTAGAATAAAGGGATGAAATAAATGAATGGATATAGATTGAGAACTTACATTAGGGGTTAGAATAAGCAGTTACACTAAGGTGATAGATATAGACTGATGAGTCGTTTTGTGGGTAGCTGCTGGACAGCTATGGTAGATTTTTGAAGTCTCGGAAACCTAAACTGCGTTTTCGAAATCTGGAGGTTTTTTGGTTGCTTTTCAGGGTTTCTGAGAGCTCGGAAACCCTTTTCCGGAAACCTATAAAGGGTTTCATATAGGGACAAACCCTGAAACCTGCTATAGGTTTCCGAGAAAACGGATTTTTTTTAGAGTGTAGTCTTGACTCGACATACACCAGCACCCAGATCCTCATAGCCACAGCCACACCCGATGAGGACGAGACTTGATATCTCTTTTTCAACTACTCATCCGAATCTACAGAGTTGTCAAAAACTCCTCATAGTTTTTGAATAGATAGACGAATATCAGTTGATTCTTCTATAGAAGCCAAACTTTATTTTAACATGGTTTTTAAATATTTAAAATAACGAAAAATTGCGTTCAAATTGAAATATACTCTATGTTTAAATTTCAATCTTGCTTTCCATGATACACTTGTAACGAGAATTTTTGTTTTTATTGTTCTATTTCAGAGTAACAGTACTCGAATCAATGCTAGTAATTTATCAGAAATATAAAGCCAATATGCTGCGTATTCAGCTATCCATATCTATTACAATATCTTCATATTCTGTATGCCTTCATTTGTCTACAGTAAGAGATGTATCCCTGAGAATTTTAGACAGGCATCGATAACTATTGATCAAAGTTTTCGAGCATCTGTGGAGTTCATTTGCGTACCCTTCAGCAAATCATAACTAACACAGCGTGATTTAGGGACTTTAACGTACATCGATACTCACAATAAAATTGTTTTAGCTCTACAACAGCACAGTCAGTTTCAATCGAATTCGGATCATATATAGTCAGGGTAGAGAATTACGAAAGCGGAAATTTTCGACTCATAAAGTTTTTACCTTCATAGATTATCCAGTTCGTAGTGGAACAGAATCGCTCATATCATTACTCTGCTATACCCAGCCGAATAGTGACACGGGTTTGTAAGCATCACATATGATTCATACGATAAGAAATGCAATGAACGAAGAGAATGAAGAAAAAGACGACCTTCGGGGGACTCGAGCCCACATCTCATGCTATTCGAGCAAATGCCCTAAGCCAATTAAACCAGAAAGCGTGTCTTAATCTTGGTTTAGCATCGCAGTGTATCATCATTGACGCTAAAAGGTTTTTGTTGCTGATACAGATTTATTGGGTGGAATATGAGTGTGAATAAGAGTTAAGAGAAGAGCCATATCGACGCTGCTTCGTTCAAGAAAGAACATAAGAGAGATAAAAAATTAAAAGTGAACGATATATTTCTTTACTTTAAATGACTCGAGAGAGAAAAACTACACTACTGTAGTGAATATATTGACTGCTGAGTTAGTTTTGTGGAGCTTACATATTTTTCGAAGAAAATGGTGAGTGTAAGTTTAAGAGCGAGTTTTTGTGGCTCTCTACGCCCTCCAGACTCCCCTCCTCGCCTCATTATAGACTGTAGCAATGGAGAATAACAGGCATCACATTTTCTAGTTTTTTTTGCAAAATTGATCAAGTTATAATTTTGAAAAATAATGAATATTACTATTTTCGAGTTGATTAATGTAAATGATAGTGCTTAAGATCTGCTGTAGATATAAGGGATATGTAAAACAGACGTACTAGCCAATACATTCAATGATTATAATAACGGGTGTCCCAGGAAAAATGGGCCTCTCAGTATTTTTAAGGTTTCTCCTCTATTATCCCTGTAGTTAAAGCTCTTTTTATTATCAAAAGATAGCGCTTGAAATTCTCTACCAAACCATATATGAGTAGGCTCAAAAAGTTTTAGATATATTTGAAAAAAGACGAAAACTAAAGACATACAAACAGCTGTAAAATGTGACTAACGGATGTCCCATAATAAATAGCTGTGCTTTGCATTTCATATTTTAATCTCTAAATACGTTTTATTAAAAAAATAGAATATACCATAAGAAGCAGCATGAAAAGCTCTACAATCTACAAAATAAAGTTTATTTTAATTTTATACTTTTTGTTTACAAAAAAAGCAAAATTCTGTACGACCAAATCTCGCCATTGTGAAAAAAAATCATTTTTTACAAGAAGGAGAATTCTTTTTTCTTATTCTGTCTTTTTATCACCTAATATGTTCCCTTTAAAAAAATCAAAATATACCACAAGATACAGCGTGAATAGCTCTGTAATTTACAAAGAACAGTTTATTTTATTTGTGTTATTTTTAAGTTCAAAATAACTCCAAATTGCGTGCGATCAGTTTTCGCAATGGCGAAAATCCATCGCACAAAGTTTTGCTTTTTTCTAGAAACAAAAAGTATACAATTCAAATAAACTTTATTTTGTAGATTGTAGAGCTTTTCATGCTGCATCTTATGATATATTTTGCTTTTTTAATAAAACGTATTTAGGGATCAAAATATGAAATACAAAGTGCAGCCGTTTATTATTGGTGACATATTTACATTTTTCAGCTGCTGGTATATCTTTAGTTTTCGTCTTTTTTCTAATATATCTAAGACAGTTTTTAGGCCTAGTCATATATGATTTTGTAGAGAATTTCAAGTGCTATCTTTTGATAATAAAAAGAGCTTCAATTACAGAAATAATAGAGGAGAAATCTTAAATATACTGAGAAGTCTATTTTTCCTGGAACACCCGTTAATAAGAATGTTAAATTAAGAAAAACGAAAAAAATGCAATAGCGAGCGAATAGCAACAGCGCAAACAAAAAATAGGGCGCCCGTAGAAAAAATTAAAAAAATTCTTTTCGAAATGCAAAAATTAAAGAAGTCATTACTCTGAACATCAATTATCCTGCAAAATAGCTATAGTTTACGAGAGATCTATCAGTTTAAATATTATGTATTAGTTTAATTAGACTAGAGACTATATGTGAGTTCTACATTTCAGCCATAAAGGGGCTACGCTAACAAGTTTTTTCATGAAACAAAAGTAACAAAAATGGTTTTGATTCAGCCAGGAATCTTGACACTCATTTTGTTGCAGGCATATTTTCATTTTTGGGCGTTAATACAGGACTTTTTGTCACCTTCCATCGCTGGATTTCAAATTTACGACATTTTGAAACTTGGGGACACGATACTAACCCTTTAATCAGAATATAGATAATGCTATAAGAATATTTGGCTAGGCAAAGCGAGTAAGGAGACTGTTGATAATACCATAGGAATGCAAAGCATATTTTTAACATATTCAGAATATGCAATTTTCGTAGGGAATACCGAATATTATGGGAACCTACATTTTCAACTCTTGAAGAATAATGGTTCGTTTCATTCCACTCCTTAACATGCTGCCAACGAATCATTTCCAATATCCAATACTTCTAATATACTATCTTCAATGCAATTCAACCTTTCAGTAGAGGGTTAGCAGCGTTTGCGCTGCATTACTTGTTCTTTGTAGCAGTACGGATATGGTGTTTGATAGTCGAAGTTTCAGTGCATTAGGAATATGGATTTATTCAGCGAGTCAGTTTTCAAACGCTCAAAATGGTGCTAAAAACATTTAAAACTTTTCACCATTAAAATATGTTTAATGAGGTCGAAAATTTTATTTATGGTCAAGATGATTCACACCGATTGGCCATTAAGATTCTTTTCGAATAAATTATTCAATGGAATCAACTTTTCGCATGCCTATTACCCCTCATTACAAAATTGTACTTCATGTCTCACTATATAAATCACTCATGTACAAAAATGAACAATGCTATAGTTAGCAGTCCTTCTTGACGAGAATACGATGACAATTTCCTCGTTTTCTCTATAGCCATTTTTTGATTGTGTATCATCACCTCATGAAAGACTAGATATATCCGAATATTCTAATTTTCAGCGATTTAACTACGATTTGATACAGTGCTGTAATGCAACAGCTGAATCCCACATTTTGCAATTAATGAATAATAGAATTATGTAACACTATTTTATCTCACAAAAGAGATTGAAACTACCAATCTAATGTGCTCTTTGTCACAGCCAATTATTCTCGACTAGGTAAAAATGACAGCTATGTGGAAAATAATACTTGAAATGACTACTTATCTCTCATTTTTAATGTTTACGGTGGCTATAGAGGATAACCATGAACAATCACTGCCATTCCCCGATAACTTTCTGCATAAATCATTTATATCTTCATGATCTCTACTATTTTTATCTAATTATAAGAGTAAACTGTAAAAGAATTTTTCTCTCATTTAGCATCCAACAGCAACAACACAATCATGCGACGAACAATTCTATCTGACTTTTGCATGATATTTTTCTGTACAACTGTGATATGTGGTGGCAGCCAGTCATTGTCGGACAACATCATTAGAATTACCCCAGATCAATGGTTGAGTGGTGTAATACGTTCTCAAAGTTATTTTGTCAAACAGCAACAACCAAGCACCGATGTATTACAAGGTGCATCGCTAACATTTGTGAAACTATCTGGTCTCACATTGTCTTTCTATCACACGGAACCATTACTATACAAAATTTCGTTTGAAGGCAGATGTTACTCGAAGCACGCAGCAGATATATTTTTGTATCTTCGTTTGATAATTGATGATTATTTACTCTACGTCAATAAGTTCATTCCGAACACAGCTGATCGATATAAACACTTTGCCGGATATAATGGTAACCATTATATTGATTCGATAGGTGGTTGGAATTGGTTCACCAGTTCACAAACACTGACAATGTGTTCATTCAGTGACATAATCTATTTGAATCCAGGTTTACACGTTATTGATGTGGGTGTTAGAGGTGGCTATGATACTGGTATAGGTGCTTTTCCATTATATGTGAACGCTGGTATTTTGAGAATTGAAGTAATTCAATTCCATCCTCCTGCAAATATTGGACTAATGCCCGTCAATGTTACGTTGACTACGTCATAATGGTCTATTAGAGGTCTGATGCTCGACCCTTTTTATTTTATTTCAAAATCGAGAAAAAAATGTCCTCACACACACACGTACATATATGTTATCTGAACTCTGTACACTTTCTATCTATCTCTCTTTTATGCTATCTAGAAAAACATCTGCACATATATATATATATAAACGAGATCAAGGGTTAAAGTTAAGGACAAACAATAAAGAGTGATCAAGGTTATATAACATCAAAGAAAGATCTAACTAGAAGAAAGAGAAAAGAAAAAAAATGAAAGACATATATATGTATATTCACTGTCCAGGGTTCAAAACATAAGGACAAGTAGAATAAGAAAATAACCTGAGATATATCATATCAACGAAATAGGTAACAAGAAGAAAAGAAGAACGAAAAGAAAACGAAGAATATAATACCAGAGTTATCCTCTAACAGTCGACCCCCCAAAAATAAAATGTATGTCCGCACACATAACAAAAAAAAAGAAAGAGAAAGAGAAACAACAGAACGAAAGAAAAAGAAACGGGATAACGTTCAGAAAAGAAAAACAAAACAAGAAAAAAAAATATATATATAAATCGATTATTTGTATAGACGATGATAATGTTGTTTTGTAAACATCTGATCATGTAATAATTGTTCTACTTCATCCACCATTGCTTGATCTTTAAGTCCAATACATAATTCATGTCGAATCATATTGACATTAAGAGAGGGTCCGCGAGAGAACCACCCTAGGTTGCCGGGGAAAAAAATTTTTTTTTCGATTTTGTTTTCTTAAATGATAGGCCTAGGTAAACTATAGTTGAATCCAAAATATTAGCTCATGTGATTTTACCTATGAAAAACGCGAGCTAAAACAAGCTGAAGGAGGTCAAAATTGACCCTAAAAAGACGATAAAAATGGGTGTGCTCAGTATTTTGACATTTTCTCATGAATGGTTTGATCGTTTGAGATTAGGGGTGTCAGCTAGTGGCGGAGCCAGGGGTGGGCCAGAGAGGGCTCAGCCCCCTCTAGAAACCTTTGAGCCCCCTCTAGGATGAAAATGATCAAGCATTACAACGAAAAAGTATACCTATTTTCAGCCTTAAAATTGGAGCTAGAGGGGGCTGAGCCCCCTCTAGAAATTTTTTCTGGCTCCGCCACTAGTGTCAGCGTTCCCGTTCCTCCGGGTTCCGTTCCCTAGGAACGGGAACGCGTTTGAAAATTGGTTTGTGAGCGTCATTCAGCATTTAAAGATACTCAGATCTGTCTATTCTCTTCGTTTATATCAAACCACAATGGGTTCCCGGGTTCCGCATTCCCAGGTACGGGAACGCGCTTGAAAATTGGTTTCTAAACATTAGCCAGTTATCGAAGATGGTGAGATGTGGTTATTTTTTCATTCGTATCGAGCCACAATGGGTTTCCGGATTCCTAGGAACGGGAACCCGTACGCGTTCCGCGTTCCCAGGTACGGGAACCCGTCTTGGGTTCCGTGTCCCCAGATACGGGAACCAGCCTTGGGTTCCGCGTTCCCAGGTATGGGAACCCACTCCGGGTTCCGGATTCTGGGTTACTAGGTACGGGAACCCATTCTAGGCTCTGCCTTCTTAGGTAAGGAAAATTGGATGGCACATCTATCAGTAGGGAGATTTCTACAAAGTGAAACTTCGATACTAAACGTTCGAATTTCAGAAGCGGCAACTATAGAGAATATAACCTTCCGAACTCAATTATATAGTGTACACCTGTTGATATATCTTTTTGTCTTGTCGTTTTCTTGTAAAAACATTACGACTACTTGATAGAAAGTAAGACCATGTTGATGACGAAACACTCAAGCAATATCGAATTATTCTTTTGGAAAATGAGTATAATTAAAAGTTAAATTACTTAACTGAACACAAACCAAATTAAATTTATTTTTATTTTGGTAAATATTTCGACAGTCTTAATCCCTCTACTGTTGCTCTATTTTAGAGTAATATTTTATAATCTCATTAGTGTTGCTTAATTTTTTTTGTTGAGTATCTTCACCTAATCAAGCATACGATTTTACATATTTTCACATTTCCAAGTTGTTGAAATACAGATCTGTAGTGTGAATTTCTAAAACGTGAATAGCTTCGCTCTATATGCGCAAGGTAGACAAGACGACTCAAAGAAAAAGAAAAAAATCTCGTGAAAAATGTTCGTGTATAAAGGAAAGTAAGGTATGAAGCAGAAATAAGTGAATGAGCAGGTATTATTAGTCGCGTTGAGGGATTGTTATTTAAATATCGTTAATTACTATGAAACATTAATATTTTCAAATCGAAAATTCGATGATGTTTCATGCTTATGCTGATCTAATTCTTATTGACTCAATGAAATTTTGAACTTCTTATTTACTATCATAGGTTATAACTGGAAGAATTGATCTAATTATGCGAAAATCTAATAACTTTTTTGGTAAATAATGTGATATTTTTTTTCGAGTTTTCAATTGTAAGATCAACTGATAACAAATCCACTTATAAAAATATCCATTTTTCAAAAAACAATATATCATGATAAAATAATCAATCAAAAAGTTACTCTACTCAAATAAGAAGCAACACATTTTCATTAGCGAACCTATATTTTCAAGAACATCTTTCATCATTCAATGTCATTCAATTTTATCTTTTTCTTTTCCAAATTGTCCTGATTTCGTTTAAGCTGTTATAAATGAAAATTAATAAGACATAAGGACAAGAAGACAGAAAATTTATTGGGGAACTTGAAAAATACTTTTCAAAAAAACAAACTTAAGAAATATACGATGACTGAAATGAGATTCGCTGAAAATGCCTCCGTTCGATTCAGTAAGCGTTATTGTGAGAGTGATACCGATAATTGCTGTATCAGCTTCATATATGCCGTAGTAACTGGAGCCAAAGAAGTTATTAAAAAGATATCAAGATATTATATGAAGAGTGCCATCAGCTATCAGTGTATCACATGCATCTCAAGAGAGACTACAGCAATGGATCTTACCAGAAATACCACACTGATTTAGTTACTAAAGCAAGAAGTCCTACTAACTTTTTATTCCAAGCAGAATAATCCACCTGAGTTTACGTTCAAGATTCTGGCAAATCATTTGAAAATTTGTTAACATGCATTTTTGATCATCTAGAGATTATGATACATATTTATTCTTTTCATCTGTATAACCTCACAACGAGTTCATGGGTTCCCAGAAACAAGAAATCAACCGGGTTCCGCGTTCCCAAGTACGGGAACCCGCCTCGGGTTCCGCGTTCTCAGGTACGGGAATCCTGACTAAGTTTCGCGTTTCCCGTTTCTAGGTACGGGAACCCGGTATGGGTTCCGCGTTCCCAGGTATGGGAACCCGGTATGGGTTCCGCGTTCCCAGGCATGGGAACCCGGGGTGGGTTCCCGTACCTCGGAACGGAACCAGAAACTGACACCCCTAGTGTAGACAGTGATCTTGTCAGTATTTCATGATGTAATTCCGTATGAAGAGCTGTTTCACTGAGCTTCTCTTTGATAGGATCTAGTTTTTTATCCATAATTTGAGTATTCTTCTTCATACCTAAAGAATGGGGGGCGTCTAAGAGCCATTTTTGGGCCATTGCCAGCTTTCCTTCGTTCATGATTTACCTATTGCAGAATTTGAAGAGGAATCGTTTGGTAACAAAATGAAGCCATTTCTGAGAGATTTAGACCTAGTTTAGATCAAAATATTGATTTTTGACTTTTATACTGTATATGGATGATTCATACGATTGTGCATTGTAATCGGTATAATGCATTTGAGAAGAGATATCAGCTGGTGACTCGAGTACTTTTTTTTGCTGTATGACCATAACTTTCGATAGCCGTCAATTTTGTCTCATAGTTTTGGCTCTCGACAGGTTTTGAATCAATTGGTACCTCCGCTAATTTTTCAGAGCCGAACCATGAGGCAGTCGTTTGGGGAAAATGTGCAACACATTTTTTCATGAAAATCATATTTTTCTAAGAAATGGATGGGAAGTAAGTTTTATTCATTGAACCGAAGAAAATGTAACCTATAAGAATTTTCAATTTTATTGATTTAGATTAAGATCAATTGAACTTTTAGAAAATTAAATGTTGGATCTTCTAAGAGAACACTCAGGAACATGCGTTATTTTCCAGCTTGGATATTTGCCAAAGAAAAATTTTGCCAAACTTTTGACAAATCTAGTAAAATATCACATTTAAAAGAATGGTTTGAAAGTCATATTGATTTCTAAAGGTCCATCATCTCAAACGTAGACCTGTTTTTCGATGTACTGAAGTAAGGCCAGTAGGCCAGCTAATGTTTCTTCACCACTTGGAATGATTTGGTCTTCGGGAAGCAAAAATCCATATTTACCTATTGAATAAGGTTTCCGATAGCAGTTTGTTAAACTTGAATAATTACACTTACCAGTATCACGAAGTTCGACACCATAGCTAAATATCACATTGGCTGTGCCATAGGTCCAATCGACCGTACTACCCGATGCAACATAGATAGTTTGAGCAATATTGTCATGCTGATACTGGGTACCTTTAATATTAAACAAGAATGATTTCGAAACAATAAGTATTTCGCAGTAGATGAACCATGTACAGCAGCGAGTGCGTTAATAGCTTGGATAGATCCATCATCTTGTAATTTGAATTGTGACGGTTTCATGGTTGTATACGCTAGAGAGAAATGTTGAAAGAGAAGATCGAACTTAACATTCGAAGCTTACTCCATGGTCACATCCACAATTGTGAGTACGAATGAAAATTGATATAGTGCACAATCGTATCCTGGTGATCAGCGATGAATTTTGCTACTTGGGCTGTTTCAATTTCTGAAAATGCTTTTTCACCACAGAAAATGTCTGAACACGGATCATGAGAAGCACCGCCTAGAATTGATCATGTGAAGACGAAGATATCACAATGAGCAAAACGACAAACTCACTTTCACACCAATGATAATCCCAATTACGATTCGGATCAACACCATAACAGAGTGGAACCGATGTTTTGCTGCGAGTCCTGTGTCATAATCGATCTTGGAAAAAAAGCAAAATTTTGATAGGAATATGCTTCTTTGATATTAACTATCACCTTTTGTCCATGTATATGCATAGCCATCAACATTAAATACAGGCAAAATATAACAATCAAATTGATCAACTAAATGCGTAATGGTTGGATCTTGGCCATACTTTGACAGAAAAGCATAGGCAATGTAGATGACCGTTGCTGGACTGATCCATTCTCGAGCGTGAATTCCTACATACGTATGCATTCGAAAATAAACGTGATTAAAAAAAACAAAGAACAAAAAACCTCCGTCCCACCAAACAGCCTTTTTCGTGGTGGCTTTGGTGCCATCATGCCTGATTGCCATCTTCTTTGATGAGATTTTGAAGCCTTTCATATCTCTATTTTCGTATGATTTTCCCACAGTAAACGATGTGACCATGTCCGGATACGTCGCAACGATTTGATCAATCCATACATGAATGTCTTCAATAGTGTCATACTTATCGTAGGCAAAATCATTTGTATTCGATGATGATTGCGGTAAATTTTGTAGAATTCTTTGCCTTTCAATTATTGCACCAATATCAGTCATATGAACCACATATTCGATTTTCACACCGTCTGATGTCAAGAAATCAGCAAAATTTTCGATTGCTTGAGGTGGTACACGAACATCGATCTATTTGAGAGAAAAAAGGTCGTCAATTGTAATGAAGGAAAACATGTTTGAATAAGAACTTGCTGGTTCATTAATACGAAAGCGTTCTGACCAACAGTTGATATCGTGCAGGTGGACTATGCGACTGAAAGCGAGTATTTTAGCAACTTGTTCGTTGTTAGTGACATGTAAACGCCACAACTGATGATTTGCATACGATTTGGTATAGTTTGCATTTGCACCAATTGTTATGGATAGAATAAGAATGATGAAAGGAATAGGCAACACTTTTATTCTCATAGATGAAAACTGACCCATACAAAATGAGAAAAATGGTACAAAATGGCTGTCTTTGTTACATTTATAGATGCAGAGATCTTTGAAGAAAGATAACAGAGACAACAGATAAGATTTTGTTGTCCTTGTCATCCTTACCAGTTGCAAACACAAAACAAAGGTGACTTGATGTTAATGCAACAAAAAGTATGATCAACATGACGAATTACATAGCATCCAAGCGTTCGTCAACATGTCAAGTTTTTCTATGACCAGAGAGATGATAGAACAGATCTGCTTAAGTTTATTTATGTTGGGTGCGGGTGTGGGTGGTGGGGTGGGGTGTGGGTGTGGGTGTGGGTGGGTGTGGGTGTGGATATGAGTCTTTTCCTTAACCACACCCACACCCACACCCACACCCACACCCCACACCCACCACCCACCCACACCCACACCCCACACCCACCACCCACCCACACCCACGCCCACACCCACACCCACACCCGCACCCCACACCCCACACCCACCACCCACCCACACCCACACCCACCCACACCCACACCCACACCCAGCATATCAGTTTATGAGTCAGTCCATATAAGCCACAACCACCCACACAGAGATCCTGCTCAATCGAGGTCGTCCGATTGCGCTCAATTTAAGCTTTTCGAAAGATCAGAAAAAAAAACATGATTTTTGTTTTGCACAAATTACGTGAAGAACTGGCCAAGATTATGGACTATAAATAACGATAGCTCCTAAACAATTAAAACTAAACGTCTGATGTTTGCTTAGTTTTGTAGATCTTTACTTAATGATTCGAGTGCACGTCTTACGACAAAAAACTCACTGCAGTCACTCCACACGTTACATTGGTGTTCAGAAAAGTCTTCAACGTAGGACTTAATGTATGTAAATCTTCTGTTTCTATTGATGAAAACCAAAGCTTCCTATCCTGTTTCTATTAGAAAGAAATTATTTGAAAAATAGTTAATCGTCTTTGTTTTTGAATGATCAATAAATAGTACAGTACTGTAAAAGAAATACTTCAGCGATGCATATTTATATTATGATTTTGAGGAAAAGATTATATCTATCTAGTATTAGTCTTATACTAATTATTCCATGAGCAGAGAAAAGTATCAACCAACTCATGCTCTTCTAAGAACAGTTACATGTAATCGTCGCATTTGTCAAAGGTTTCTTTTTTATTTTTGTGCAGTTAGATTGCAAGATCGATAAGAGAAAAGAAGATTGTCAATGTGCCATCATTCATTTACGATACGTTATTGATGCTAGTAGCTACTAGAGAGAGCATCTTCGGATGTCCTATTAAATCCACAATCGAATTGGTCGTATCCAACGTTCGTCCCGTGCAATGGCGCACGTGGATGGCAAATGCTCACGCAACCAGTTAACAAGTTCTTCCTGTGTTGGCGCTGGATGTTTAAACTTCTTATCATCCCTGCAATCAACATGAAGTACTCGAAGATTTTTCATGTTATTAACGAGAGTAATTACGGATGATCGATTTTCAACTTCAATAGAGAGTGTTTCACATACGATGCCTAGCGAAGAATAGCTTAATGCCATATATTGTTCATTGTTATATCCTCCATGAGTGAGAGAGAAATCTAGGTGAAGTATTGACTGACTTTTGAGTTGGAACAGTTCCATGTGTGTACTTTCCGACGTACGATTACGAGCGACGAAAGTAGATAGCCGAGGTGCTTGATCAAATACAGTCTGTATTTGAGAGAGACATAAATTACAGTACTTATTTGACCAGACTTCGAGGAAAACCAAATGTTTGAAGTTTGGAACGAGAGATCAAAAATGATCGTTGACATGAATAGTGAAGCATAGTTTTCGAATACTCGGCAATTGAATATTGGATGGTGACGAACATTTGGATATGTTGGCATGAAAAGAAAGTGTATGCACACGATTATATGAACCGTCATCGTCACCTTGTTGACAAGTTGATTTGAATAGAATTGGATACTCCAGATAAATTTCATGAAAAACATATGGCAGAGTGAATAAAAGAATACGATTGTCGTATAAATTTCAATGGCATCGAACAAACCAATGATGCTCAGTTAACCAAACTTCACTTCGAAAAGTATCTAATAATGCATCTATCTGTACTTTCTTATCATCTGAACTAGATAGACCAAAGTTCATGCAAAAATGGAATGTTTTGAGCTTCGACAAATAATTGCGAATGAGTTGTTCCCAACGGTTACCATCTATCTTACCACCTCGAATGTTAACTTTTAAATAACTTAAACTGGGCATCTGTTGTATAAGTCTTATGAATAAATGTTCCTGATGCCTAGTAAAATTTGTCGTAAATTTTATAACTGAAGGTATAGTTGATGATAGTTCTTCATAAGGATGATCGAAAAGAAATGGTGCAATGAAATGTTGTAGATTAGGTGTGTGCTCAAATAGACGATCTATTGGAGCCAGCCATATTTTTACACCATCCATATACAATATTTGAAATTGTTCGATAGTTTGGGAGGTTGTGGTTGGAGTAGGAAGACTCAAAGGTTCGGGATTGTTTTGTGGTAGTAGACACCAATGAGTAAGTTTAGGTAAATTCCAAACGATGTTCATAAAGATGAGACTATTTTCGACATCCTTTGGAAAGAAACATTGTTTGAAAGTCAAATGAGTAAGATTTGATAGATGATTTAGTTGCAACATAATGTTAATCATCGTTTGCTGAGAATGAATATGATATAATGAAAACGATTGCAAATGAATGAATTGATAAAAAGTAAAACCATGAAAAAAGAATTGATTGATTTGTTCCGGTGTTTTATCATCGTCCGAAAGGCAAAGTAAGTTATTTGATCCAACATTGTTGGAAGATATCTTCGACTGATACTATCAAAATAGTGTTCGGATAAGTTTCGAAAGTCAAAAATATTTCTTCGAAAATGTTCGAGCAGAAGAGAACCAAAACGAGTATTGAGACTATGGAATGCGCGAACAACATCAGCGGTACAAAGAAACTGAAATACGTCAGATAACAACTCATTGGCGCACGATTCTAGATTCATGTTTGGCTAGCGCACTCGTGCTGTGATTTGCAATTATTAAATATAAAACTCAATATCAAAGGTGTCAGGTACTTTATACTCACAACTGACAAAAAAAGAGATAGGGCTCATCCCTTTTTTTCTGCTTTTTCTTTTTGATTACACGTTGTTAATTTTAGTGTTTTGCTTTTCTCTTTGTCATCAGGATGATGCTTATTTAGATAAGGCAGAGAAAAAAAACCATTGACATTTCACTGCCATGCTCCCTTTGTCTATCGCTCACAGCTAGTGATTGGAGAGGTTGTCTCCATTTTCTTCGTATTGACTATCCATGCTTCGATTTTACTCTTTGAAATCAACAAATATATTATGGGGTGGGTGTGGGTGTAGGTGTAGGTGTGTGTTAAGAAAGAACGGAACAATACCTACACCCACACCCCACCTACCCACACCCACACCCACACCCACACCCACCCACATCCACACCCACCCACATCCACACCCTACTTCTTTTAAATACCTTGCTTATTGGATTAGTCCCAAACTGAGTTGGTCCACTATGATCAATAAATCCATTCTGAAAATACGACAAAGAATAGGTACGATTAATTCCTGTCGCATTCACGCTTCAACTTCTAGAGACTTGCGCAGGGTACTATTCTCTTCTTATGTATTACCAATCTTTACGTGGCTTTTCGCTATTTTTCCTCTTTTCTCTGAACGTTAGCGGTCATTCTTAGCAAAATTCTATTACACCTGCCTTAAACGAGTGCTACATTTACAACATTGGCCAAATTTCTTTTTCGCACTCACTCTGAATGAAGTCTCACTCGAAAATAGATGTACGCGATATTGGATTAAATATTTAAGAGCATTGGCTCCTCTAAAGATGGTGATTTGCTTATAGAACAGCTTATCCTTAATTCACATAGAAAAAGCTGGCTTAGTGGTAGGCAGAGAGTAATGGGACTCCATCGGTCGAGAAGATTTGTCGACCATGAATCGGTCTTGCAAAAGTGCCTATCCTGGTTTGATGATAATCCTCATCCTGACACGATATCACAGATCCTCTATGATGATATCGAATTGCTAAAAGCTTATCCCGAAACATTCTAACTATGTTTTTCTCCAGGAACGTGCTATTTCTTTAACAGTGTTTGTTTAACTTTTGTTATATCGCACTTCTATTGTTTCTTTCAGTCATCTCTTATTCGGTATGCAAGTTTATCTGGTGTGATCATTTCTTTCTTTCTCAATCGTTTCTTTTCTTTCTTTCTCAATCGTTTCTTTTCTTTCTTTCTTTTTTATTGTATTCTATTCCATTTCATTCTCTAATGTCTTGCTTTCCTTATATCTTCTTCTTCCCTTCTTTATTTT